AAATCTGAACTCTCTGCATTCATTTGCTCCCTCACTTTATTTTATTTTTTATTTTTTTGGTCTTTTTGAGACAGCATCTCACTATGCAGTTCAGGCTGGTCTTGAACTCACTTTGTAGCCCAGACTGGCCTTGAATTCTCAATGATCCTCCTGCCTCAACCTCCCCAGTGCTAGGATTACATGCCCGGCTTCCATCTCTTTAAATGGAGCTGCACCCACTGCCCAGCTTACCCTGGCCCGGCCATAGCTTTGATTGCTGATGGTAGTTGGCAGCTTGCCAGGAGGGGAAGTTGTCAGTAACCAGAGTCAGATCTTGGTCTCTCTTTCCAGTCTCCAGCCCCAAGTGACCCCATTGCTGTAGCAAGCCAGGCACGGGAGGAAATGTGGAATCCCTCTTTCCATCACCCAGCCATTTGGCAGGAGGCTACAGTTCATTGGAAAGGAGTAATGTGGCTGCAGTGGCTGTTAGCCAGGCTTTGGAGAAGGCTTTGGAGACTCAGGCTGGGACTAGAGTCAGGAGAAGTGAGCTTCCATGCTCCCTTAAAACATGCACCAATTGGGCCCAAGTTAAGGGGCTACAGCTGTGGTCTAGTGGTGACTGACAGCTTTGCCAGTTGTATTATGGAGCCTAATTTATCTCATCCACCTGCCTGGTCTGATGACTGCTGAGCACTTGCAGCCTGTGGAATCTTTTCATCTGCAGCTCCTTCAAGTGATTCATTCATTCATTCATTCATTCATTCATTCATTCATTATTCTCTCTCTCTTCCTCTCTTCATTACTTCTCTTTCTGATTTCCGATATGTTCACAGCCCTCTGTCAAGATCCCCAAATTTTCAGAAAAGCAACCAGGAGTTTCTATGCTGTTCTGCAGAACCAATTAGCCACCCTCCCTCCACTGTCTTCCTGGGAGGTCATCCTCCTGGAACTCTCTGGAAAAGATACACCTCCTCTCCTTTAATAGAGGTTGAGGGGTGATACTCCCCCTAGGTGCCCAATAAATGGAAGAGGAGCAAGGGATCTCATGGCCTGTTCTTGCTGTAGAAAAGCCTTTTTCGGAAAAAATAATAAAGGAATCAGCCAATCCCTTCTCGATGCCATCGCCTCTTCTTGGTGATTTTTTGGGGAAGGAGTGGGCGGGTTGCCATAGCAACAGATGCGAGCTCTGCTCAGTAAAGAAGGGACCTTGATATTTTTCTCTCTCTCATTCTCTCAGTTGTGTGTGTGTGTATGTGTGAGAAAGAGAGAGTTTGTGTATGTGCGTGCTACACATGCCTGTGCCCACACTAGGAATGTTTTTTTAGAACTAAAGAAAGACTTTGTCTTCTCTCAGCTACCCAAATATGGAATGATGGAAAACCACTCACTCCTGCAGGTCAGGGAAGATTCAGGATGGTTCCAGAGAAAGGGGAATATTCGTGTGGGGCTGTTTTCCTCCATGTTATTGCAAATGTTTGGGGTCTAAGGATTGAAAGGTAAGATGTTAGGCAGAGAGAGGTAAACAAAGCATAGGTCATGCAAGCACCCAACAAGTGACAGCAGAGAGGGCAATGGAGGGTACATTGGGTCTGGGGAAGCATGCAGGACCATGCACACCATTGAGCGCTGAGAGGGAAAGACTCAGAGCACATTCAGATATGGACACACATACACTCACACTCAATGTGGTAAATATAAATATATACAGGGACAAACAGCACTACATACAATACAAGAAGGTGGATGCTTTTAAAAAGATGTGCATAAGTGCAGGTGTAGGCAAATAGAGGAAGAGGAGTACTGATAACAACTACAAAGACACATGCAGACAAATACATGGATAGACATATAAACATTCAGGCAGGATCAGATGCAGCCACATAAGGATATACAAACAGTCTCAGTCAAGTGAACACACACACACACACACACACACACACACACGTGCGTGCTTACATTCACAATCTCCCTCTCTTAAATTGCTCAAACATCCTTGAGGAGTAGTGCATGGCTGGGAATGCTGTGTGCACCCAGCAGGTATTGTTGGGAGGCTTCTGCTCCCCTCATTCCTTCTACACACTCACCCCAAAGCCCCTCTCCCAATTCATTCCCTTGCCCACTTGTCCATACCCCAAGCACCAGGATGCCTCCCCCATCTCAGGCTCCAGATTCTTAGCCTGTTCTGCTGCTGCTGCTGCCGCTGCCGCCTAGGGAGGGGGGAAGTGGGTGACTCAGCCAGGCCAGGATGACTCACACTGCCAGTATTTTTAGCAGCGGCCAGGAGCTCTCTAGCGTGCCAGCCGCCCCCCTCCTCCTGCTTGCTATTTCAGAACCATCACTGGTGATATAAATAGCTCCTCTCCCACGGCCTGAAGCTGCTGCCAAGCTATTTTTGGTTCTGCACAGTTAAAAATAGTTTCACGGAGGTGGGAGGCAAGAGGAGTGGAAGCTGGCCTGGGGAGAGGAGACATTGGGGGCATTCAGAGATTCTCAACTTGAATCAGAGTGGGCGAACTAAGATGCGACCTCACCTACCTCCTCCTTTGTCCCTTTCTAGACCCTTCTTACCTTCCAAAATGCCTTCTCCCCAGTCCATTCTCCTGGAAAAATCCAAGGACTTTTCCCATGAGCCCACTTCTCTTCTCTTATTTAACTCCTAGAGCTCAAGAATCTTGGCCCCGGGAGCCCCCATATTTATCCACAGTGAAGAAGGGGACAGACAAAGGGGGGCCCTCAAGGTGAACCCTGTGTAGACCGGAGCCTGACTGTGAGGTTTCAGGCAGACCATAGCCGATCTGGCGACTCGGAGACTGTTTCAGCACCAGGGACAGCAACAATACCCCGTGCCTTGTGTATTGCTGGGCCGGTTGCAGACTAGCTGGACAGAGCCAATAGACCCCTTATTGTAGGGGGAATACCGAGCATGTCTCCCAGCCAGGACCTAAAGCATCTGTGGGTGAAGAAATCCGGAAGCTTTCCCTGGATTTTCATATGGGAAGGTGGTCCAAAGATCAAAGGAATGGAAATTTGAGGAAGGGGTGGGTGGAGACATTAATTGTCAGAGAGATTTTTAAAAAATGCAGAGACATCCTGAAGGGACTACCTGTCATTCAGATCCATAGAGTTAGAGATAGTCATACACACACACACACACACACACACAGAGCAATCCTTCCATATTAGTTGTGCCACAGACCACAAGATGGTTTATGTGGATTCCTCCAGACAGATGGCTTCCAAAAGACATCAGGAGAGGGCGGCCAGAGCCATGTAACCCTCTTATAAGGCACTTTTTGGTTGCCTCTTCTCCTACATTGTCTCTCTTGCTCCCATCTTTGGCAGTGAAAAATTGGGGAATTCCTTGACTCTCAACTTTTCTCATTGGTGTCAAAGTTCATCTTCACCCTCCGTTTTGACTTTTTATAATCAAGCTGTCCCCCGATTTTTTTTTCTAATTCTATTTTTTTTTTTTTTTTGGTACTGGGAATCGAACTCGGGACCTTGCGATCGCCAGGCAGGCGCTGTGCCACTGAGCTATATTCTCAGCCCTGTCCCTCAATTTTTAAGCAGTTTTATTTCAAGCCCCCCCACACGTGATTCCACACACCCTTACTCCTCCATGTGAAATTTCTGATAAAAATTTCCCTAGACCATTGCCTTCTCATTTTAAGGGATTCTGGGGGGTTAGGGAGACACCCCTTTGCCCCTTTAGGAAGCAGTTACACGTATGCGGCGAATAAGGAAGATGAGGAAGGTGAGGCAAACGCCACAGAGGTAGAAGCAAACCTGAAAAGGACAAGAAAGGAAGGCAGACATGATCACACAGAAGGGGAGACTTTTGGGGGTTAGGTGGGGCACAAAGCTGAGATAGTGAGAAGAAGAGCTCATGAGGTAGGGAGCTGAAGGTAGAAGGACTGAAGAAGTCTTAGCTCCAAAGATGGGAAGAGGGTTGGAGGAAGATGTGCAGTACAGCCTGGCAAGTTAAAGGGTCCAGAGTAGGTGCAGCAGTCACGGAGCGCCCGGCATGGACCACCCGCCCACTTCCCGGCTGCCTCCCCCTCTTCCTCGCCTAAGCAGGGGGCGGGAGCTCTCCGGAGCGGTGCGGATGCAGCTAGGCCCCGCCCGCCGCTGCCGCCCGCCGCTGCGGCAGCCGCCGGAGGATTCCTGTCCTAATATGGAGCTGGGATTCCCCCGGTCCCGCCCCCGCCCCCGGCCCGCCGGAGAGACAGAAGCTTAGAGGAGGGAGGGGGGACCGCTCACTTTGGGGGATGGCAACGGGGCGGAGGACAGCCCTAAGTCCAGACTAGATCCTCACCACGCCCTGGGTCCCTTCCTCAGTTTCCTCCATCAGTGGCTGAGATTAATGAATCAACAGGGTCAGGAATCACTGCAGAAGACAGCGTTGGTGTTGCTGCTTTTATTTTTGGCTAGGGGATAATAGGACCAAGGCCAAATTCAGCTGATTCCCTTCCCATAGAACTCCATTCCATCCTAGGGACTTAGACCCCCATGCATTTACCCGATAAATTCCCAAGGCCAGAGCTTGGGGAAAGGGGAGGGAATTATTCGAAAATAGCCAAGGGAATCCCACACTATGTAGACCCTAGGGAGGGAGTCTAGCTGTGACTTGTCCCCCAAAAGCCAAGGAAAGTGCCCCCAACCCATGGAATCAGAACCTTTGGCAGATACCAAGGGCGATTTGCCTATGATTCTATTGCTCCCCATTCTCCTACTATTCAGAAAAAAAAATCAATGTCAATACTAGCTCCTCCCTGCCTTCTACAAACTCCTGTCAGGGGCTTCAGGCCGCCCTCAACTATGCCCTGCCCTTCCTTCAGTTGAACCCCCTCAGGAGTCTGGGTCTCTACACCCCCTTTCAGGATTCTCTAAAGCAGCGCTTGGCTCTCGGCTCAGCTCCCGCCAGCCGCGGCCCCCTCCCTTTCCCCCATCCCCCCTTCCCCCTCCCGCTCTCCTTCCACGTCACGGGATGACGTCGGAAGCCAGGGAGGGAGGAGGAGCGTCCCCCCCACCTCAGTCAGCGGCTCCCGCTGCAGTTTGCTTAGCCCAACCTCCCGCTTTCTCGCCCCCCTCCCGTCTCTAAAATGTGCCCCCCACGCCTGGTAGGAGCTATATAAGGAGGAACGAGGCAGGCGAGGGGGGCAGCGCAGCCGAGCGGAGCCCAGGAGAGGAGAGAGAGCAAGCGAGAGCCTGAGCGAGATACTGGGAAGCGAGGAGGAAGCTGCCGGAGCCTCGAGCAGGAAAGAAGGTGCTGGGGCGCCCGAGCTGGAGCCTCACAGCCGGCAGTCATGTACCGCTCCACCAAGGGCGCTTCCAAGGCGCGCCGCGACCAGATCAATGCCGAGATCCGGAACCTCAAGGAGCTGCTGCCGCTGGCCGAAGCTGACAAGGTCCGGCTGTCCTACCTGCACATTATGAGTCTTGCCTGCATCTACACTCGCAAGGGTGTCTTCTTCGCTGGAGGTAAGCAAACTGGGGCTGCTGGAGATCGAGCTGCCGGGCACTGGGAACAGTGGAGCTTAGGGAACCGATGGGACTGCTGCGTGTCTAGGGCAGCATGTTGGGGACAGAAGAGACTTGAGGGGACTCAGGGCTTCCTACTTTTCCTCCTGAGCTCCATCCAGACTTCACCTTAGTTCTGGGTGAGGGTTAAAGAGACTAAATATTGTCCTAAGGGCTAGATTTATGGGAGATGAGCCAGGACAGAATGGACTCAGTCCCCACCAGCGCAGAGGCACTCCAGGAGTGCGGGAAGGGAAGTTGCAGGGACTCCGAAGAGGCTCCAAACCTTGAGAAAGGACTGTCGCTGTCCACGATAGCGAAAGGGCTTTTCTGCGGGCTCTTGAGCGCTGTCCGCGGTGTTGATCTATCGCCGGGTTGCTGTATGCTGTCCGCGGTGCTGAAGCGAGTCCGCTTGGGAGCTCTCTCCGCGGTTCTGATATTCGGGGCCGCTGAGGCTCCTGCTCTGGTTTAGAAGTGAGGGCTTGGTGACTGGGGACTTCCAGCAACAGGTCCCCCGGCCCAGAGCTGCGGGCAGCGAGTCAACAGGTGTTTACAGAGGCAGATTCATGAGAAATTCTTCCGGATTCTCTGAAACTCAGACCATGCCTTTCTCTTTTCGACTTTCTCTCCCAATCTTATCCTGACTCACCGTATCTTCTCACTCCACAGGCACTCCTCTGGCAAGTCCTACAGGGCTGCTCTCAGCTCAAGAGCTTGAAGACATCGTGGCAGCACTGCCTGGATTTCTGCTTGTATTCACAGCTGAAGGGAAATTGCTATACCTGTCTGAGAGTGTGAGCGAACATCTTGGCCACTCTATGGTGAGTACTCAGGCTGGGGCACCAATGGGGTACAATGAGTTTCTGCTCCCGAGAAACTGAGTTACTGAAGAGGGAGGGGTTCTATACTTCAGGATGCTATAGGCCAAAGATTGGCTCTTGCTATCCTCACTAATGGTCATTCCTTCCTTCCCCCAGGTGGACCTGGTTGCCCAGGGTGACAGTATCTATGACATTATTGACCCAGCTGACCACTTCACTGTGCGCCAGCAGCTTACCCTGCCCTCTGCTCTGGACACTGGTAAGAACTCTCCCCTCACTCCTCCAAGCCAATCTCCCTCCTGCTGCTCTGCTCCACCCCATCCACCATCTCTCTCATCCATCCACCCACTTAATAGTTTTTCTCTTTTATCTACCTAGATCGCCTCTTCCGTTGTCGCTTCAACACTTCCAAGTCCCTCCGGCGCCAGAGTGCAGGAAATAAACTGGTGCTTATTCGAGGCCGATTCCATGCTCACCCACCTGGAGCCTACTGGGCAGGAAACCCTGTGTTCACAGCTTTCTGTGCCCCTCTGGAGCCAAGACCCCGCCCTGGGCCCGGCCCTGGCCCTGGCCCTGGTCCTGCCTCACTCTTTCTGGCCATGTTCCAGAGTCGACATGCTAAAGACCTGGTCCTACTGGACGTCTCTGAGAGGTAAGTGCAGAGTGTTCAAATCCCAGGAGGAAATAAGGACAGAGATGAGGGGACCCTAGATTCTGAAGTCAGGGGCAGGAAAGATGGGGTTTAGAAGGGCAAAGGGAGGGAGTGAGATGCATGGGTTCCAAGCAAGGAAAACAGCAAGCTGACCTCACCCTTTCCACTTTCCCAGTGTCCTAATCTACCTGGGCTTTGAGCGCAGTGAACTGCTCTGTAAATCATGGTATGGACTGCTGCACCCTGAGGATCTGGCCCACGCTTCTGCTCAACACTACCGCCTGTGTGAGTGTCCAGAGAGGCTGGGGACAAAACAGGGAGCTGGGACAGGGGATGGGAGATCAGAACAAGGATGGGTTGTGGTCAAGACTCTGGGGAGATATCAAAGACTGACAGTTTTGGATGCCATAGGGTAAACATTAGAACATAGGGTGAGGAGCCAAGGCAGGATGAGAACCAGAGCTGGGAAACTGAGTGGTGAGGTCAAGGTGGGAAACTGAGAGGTGCAGGTTAGGGTAGTGAGAAAAGATGTCCTGGTTCCCTCAGTTGAGTGGAGAGGAGAGCAAGGTGGGAATTTAGGTGGTGTTGCCTGATGGACGTGCTAACTCTGCATCTCTTCTTTCTCCCCAGTGGCTGAGAGTGGAGAAATTCAGGCGGAGATGGTAGTGAGACTGCAGTCCAAGCATGGAGGCTGGGCATGGATTTACTGCCTGTTATACTCAGAAGGTCCAGAGGGCCCTATTACTACCAATAACTACCCAATCAGGTGAGTTGCAAGGCAAGGGACTGGGGGGCAGCCAAGTTCAGCATGGAGGAGACATAAATCTGAAAACTGCTCTGAGAATGGACAGCAAGCCCTTACCGGCTGCCTCTTCTCTCCTCTCCAGTGACATGGAAGCCTGGAGCCTCCGCCAGCAGCTGAACTCTGAAGACACCCAGGCAGCTTACGTCCTGGGGAACCCAACTGTGCTGCCCTCATTCCCTGAGAATATCCTCTCCCAGGAACAATGCTCTAATCCACTTTTCACCCCACCTCTTGGGGCTCCCAGAAGCACCAGTTTTCCCAGTGCTCCTCAACTGGGTGTTGTGTCTGCATCAGAAGAGCTTCCTCGACCCCTTCAAAAACTGGACTTCAGTTACCTGCCATTCCCTGCTGGTCCTGAGCCTTCTCTCCAAGCTGACCTAAGCAAGGATCTTGTGTGCACCCCTCCCTACACACCCCACAAGCCAGGAGGCTGTGCCTTCCTTTTCAGCCTCCATGAGCCCTTCCAGACCCACTTGCCCACCCCATCCAGCTCTTTCCAAGAACAGCTGACTCCAAGCACCGCAACCTTCTCTGATCAGTTGACACCCAGCAGTGCAACTTTCCCGGATCCACTAACCAGCCCACTGCAAGGCCAGTTGACTGAAATCTCAGCCAGAAACTACGAAGACCAACTGGCTCCCTGCACTTCCACTTTCTCAGACCAACTGCTTCCAAGCTCTACTACCTTCCCAGAGCCTCTGGGAAGCCCTACCCATGAGCAGCTGACTCCTCCAACCACAGCATTTCAAGCACACCTAAACAGCCCCAGCCAAACTTTCCCAGAACAGCTGAGCCCCAATTCCACCAAGACTTACTTTGCACAGGAGGGATGCAGTTTTCTCTATGAGAAGTTGCCCCCAAGTCCTAGCAGCCCTGGTAATGGGGACTGCACACTCCTGGCCCTCGCTCAGCTCCGGGGCCCCCTCTCTGTGGATGTCCCCCTGGTACCTGAAGGTCTGCTCACACCCGAGGCCTCTCCAGTCAAGCAGAGTTTCTTCCACTACTCTGAGAAGGAGCAACATGAGATAGACCGTCTCATCCAGCAGATTAGCCAGTTGGCTCAGGGCATGGACAGGCCTTTCTCAGCTGAGGCTGGTACTGGGGGACTGGAGCGACTTGGAGGGCTGGAGCCCCTGGATTCCAACCTGTCCCTGTCAGGGGCTGGCCCCCCTGTGCTCAGCCTGGACCTGAAACCCTGGAAATGCCAGGAGCTGGACTTCCTGGCTGACCCTGATAGCATATTCCTGGAAGAAATGCCTGTGGAAGACATCTTCATGGATCTCTCTACCCCAGACCCCAATGGGGAATGGGGCTCAGGAGATCCTGAAGCAGAGGTCCCAAGAGGGGCCCCTTCTCCTTGCAACAACCTGTCCCCAGAAGATCACAGCTTTCTGGAGGACCTGGCCACTTACGAAACCGCCTTTGAGACAAGTGTCTCAACATTCCCCTATGATGGGTTTACTGATGAGTTGCATCAACTCCAGAGCCAAGTTCAAGACAGCTTCCATGAAGGTAAGCCCAAGCCCAAGAACTCATGCCCCCCTCCTTCCAGTGAAATGCTAGGTGGGATACGGTGAATCAGTCCCCATCCCACAACTCAGTTTCATTAGGTAGATAACGTCACCTTCTTCGTAGGGTAGCAGTGAGGATATGAAAAAATGAAAATCTTATTGGTTCAGTGAACCTGGCAGACAGGGGCTGGTGTTGTAGGCTACAGTATGAGAGAATCTTTGGGTAAATATTTGTACATTAGAATTCCATGAGGACCTAGGTTAGTCACCACTCCATTCTGTAAATAGCATCAATCAAGGTCCTTAAGTTAAAGAAATTTTCCTTAAGTCACACAAAATTTGTTGGAAATTGATTAGAGTTCTATCCCTATGTTCTTTCCCTCTGAAGGGAATACAGAGCAAGCAGGAGTTGAGAAAAGAAATAGGATGAGAAAGAAAAAAGAAAAAGAAAAAGAAATAGGATGAGGATCAGCCCCAAACTCCATCACAACTTCTTCCTATTCACATCCCCATCCTTTCCAAACCTATGGTCACAGCTTCACTCCGTCCATACACATGGCCCCCTATGGGCGCCATCCGTATTGCATCCATATTACCCCATAGCTATATTGCACTCCATCCACCCATATTGCTAAGCTCCTGGGATGCTTCAAGCATGGGACCCACATATTTGAAGCCCATACTGTATGTCAACCCTGTCCCACATCCGTGTCTAATAGGCCTGACTGACTCTGTCTCCCTCTCTTTCTCTGCAGATGGAAGTGGAGGGGAACCAACGTTTTGAATAAGTCTGTGACTTAACGTCGTCAAGTATGGCATATTGTCATCAAGACGTGGAGCCGCTCTCCACCCCCCCGGGACTGTGGGGGGATTCTGGGGCCAAAGGGGGATATATCTAATTCCCCAGGCCCTGAAGGACTTTTGGGGGGGAGGTGGGAGGGCAAGGGAGGGGATCTTCTTTTTAAAAATCAAGGGACTTCAAGCGATCCCAGTTTCCATTTCAATCTGTATTCACTCGTAGTGAGTTTCCTTGAATGGATTTCGAGCGGAGAATGGGGGAGTCTCACTTCCCCACCGCGCTGCCCCATGGGCCTGGGCCAGTTCTCCACTCCTAGGGGCCAAGCCACCCCTGGGCCTTGGTGGGGGAAAGGCAGGGCTCACCTGGGCCAGGGCCCTAAGAGGCTCTTGACACCCTCGTAGAATTCTCTACACACCAGTAACGGGATTTCAATTCCGATGGACTCTGCCGCCCTGGCGGCCCTTCCTGTGACTTTTGCGCCCTGCACCTGGGGTGGGGGCGCGAAGAGACACTACATTCCTTTCCGATGGAGGAAGGCAGACCTGCCGTCACACGTGTGCTTGCACGAGTGCGTGTACCTGGTGCGGGACTCACCCGGCTACCAGACCGCCTGGGCCTGCCCAGTCGGCCACTTCGTGGTGCTGCGGTGACTTTGTAGCCAACTTTATAATAAAGTCGAGTTTGCCTTTTTGGTACTCTTGGTGTCATGCACTGCTGTGAAAGGGGAAGGGTGGGGGAGTCTGGGGTCAGGAGGCAAAGTCTGGACTGGCTCACAGCCCAGCATTTTTCACTCCCACATGCACTCATTCTACCAGTGCAAGATGTGGCCATGGCTGTGCTGGAAGCTGGAGAGTCTGGAGGCAGATGCTGCATCTTGCCTTCAAGGTGTCCAGTCCTAGAGGGTATTGGATCTTCTTCCTTCCTCCAGGCTTACAGTGTTCACAGCGTGGGAGGGAGCAGAAGGCCTGGGGATAGACACGAGTGACCCGGCCTTGGCCTGGACATGGGTTTGAAGCTTCTGGACTTCTCAGTTTTTCTTTACCTGGTTCTGCAGGAAAGCGATGCCCTTGTGAGGCCCTGGGTCTTCACGTTGGAAATAATAGCTACCTCTACAATCCTTGTATAGGGCTTTCAGCTGACAAACACCTTCACATCCCTCATTCACTGCAAGAAAGCTTCATGTCACTGACAGAGAAACTGATGATCACAGGCAAAAGGTGCTTTGCCCCCAGGTGGTGAGAGGAACAGGTGGGCTTCACACCCACATCATCTGGGTCCCAGCCTTAGACTCTTGCTCTGCTCCCACAGCTACCGAGCCACCATCTCAAATCATCCCTCCCAGATTCCCTCAGGAGGGCAAACCTGGCCTGGAGCAGAGGCCTCTCCCCCAAGTGCAGAATACAGAACCCACTCTTCTGGCCCCTCCAGGTCTGTGAGGGAGAGATGAGCAAAATCCAGTGGGTCAAAAGGAGAAAATTTCCAAAAATGCTATTTTCCTCCAATAGCCACAGGTTGTGGTTGGTGAGGGGCACATGAAATTAGGATGTAATTAGACCTGGAGTCCAGTCTGGCCTCCACCAATTATTAGCCGAATGGGTCCTGAATCTTAGTTTCTTTGCAGGTGAAGTGGGGGACACTTATCTCCCAAAGGCACAGTCAGGGTTAGATGGGGTCTCTTTCTAAGCAGAGAAGTCACAGGGAACATTTGAGTTCTTAAACTGAACTAGAAGGCAGTGATGGTTTGGAGGCGGAGAGGAGCCTTTTTCCTCAGTGAGAGGAAGGCAGCTCCAAGCCTCAGTCTTTCCCAAGAGAGACAAAGGGGCTGGGTTCCAGGAGGACACCCTCACCCCCCAGCCCTCTTCTCACTTCAAGGCCTCCCGCACTGGGACCAGGGCCTTCTCTTTAGGAGAGAAAGAGCCCAGAGCTGCAATGCAGATAATGTACGTGGATTGCCCATGGGTTCCAGGGACCTGTCACCACTTTTCCCTCCTTGGATGGGTCCTTGGGTGGGACACAGGGGCAGAGCCTTGCCCTCTGCCTTTCTTGTGTATCTATTCTCTATTTTGGACAAAAGAACTCAATTTTCAGCCCCAAGAAGGCTGTCATAGCTCTGTTCCACCCTGAGCACAGGGCCGGCACATAACAAGTGCACAGAAACTACTTCGCCAAGGTGATCATCTCACCAAGGATTTGAGTAGAGCGTCACCAATTTCTATTACAAAAAGTGTTCCTAAGTTCCCCTCAGGGCAAGAGTTTATAACTTCTAGCTTTGAAATTTAAACATCCATGAGCTCAAGACACATTGGAATCCCACTAGAAAACGAGCCCAGCCATCAAAAACAAGGAAAGTGGAAGTTATCACAGCCAGAGGAGCCTCAGGAACACACGATGGGAAAGTATACAACCTGGTATACTGGATGGAGAAAGGGTGTGACTCAACAAGGAAATCAGAATAAAGTCTGGGCTTTTGTTAATAATAATGTGTCAATATTGGCCCATTAACTGCGATAAAGATGCTACATAAGCGTATAATAAGAGAAACCGGGCGGGAGGGGGGGCGATGTGAACTGTGTCTACAGTCACAACTCTTCTGTAAATCTAGATCTATTCTGAAACAAAATGTTTCTTTAAAAAGTAGAAATAAAAATTCTGCGAGCAAAAAGAAAGACCACCCTGGTATTTGCTGGCGGTGGGTGACGGTAACGTGCGGAGGTGAGAAAGACGCGTCCAAGAACAAGAGATCCAGACTGTTTGGCCCAGAGCGCACGAGAAAAGAATTGAACGAGCCAGTGGCGCCACCTGCTGGACGAAGAAGTATCTGCTTCTGTCCCTCACTGGCAAGGTCTCTGGGCTGAGCATCAGTAATATCTCAGAATAGACCTGTTCACTGAGGCTCAGAAAGAGGAAAGAACTTGCCCAATGGCGTCCAAGCGGTACTGTATCTGACTCTGGAGGTAACTGACCTGGGAGCAAAGTGTATGAGAAAAGGCTCAAGTTTGGGGATCAGTAAGACTGAGCTCAAGTACTGGCTTTACCATCTCACTTCCTCATGGGATAAGCATTTACCACACCTACGTGTGCCAGGAGCTGTTCTAGGTGCTGGGGAAAATTAAACAAAACACTCATGATCCCTGGGCTTTATACAGCTTGCACTCCAGTTGTGGAGAGACAAAAGAAAAAGTAGACTAATCCCAGCACTCAGGAGGCTGAGGCAGGAGGATCAGTGTGAGTTCGAGGCCAGCCTGAACTGGATAGTGAGACCCTGTCTCAAAAAAAAAAAAAAAAAAGCCTAAAAGGAACGTGTAGTGTGTTTAATAAAGAACCAGCATGCTGTGGCTGGGCATGGTGGTGCACGCCTGTAATCCTAGCACTTGGGAGGCTGGAGGAGGATCATTGCAAGTTCAAGACCAGCCTGGGCAATAAAGTGAGCTTAAGGCCAGCCTGAACTGGATAGTGAGACCCTGTCTCAAAAAAAAAAAAAAAAAAAAAAAAAAAAAAAGAACCAGCGTGCTGTGGCAGAGCAACAGGTTTTGATTTAGAGTGAAGTGTCAGAAAACCCCTGTAAGGAAGTGACATTGAGATATGACCTAAAAGACAGGAAAGAGGAAGAAGAATATTCCAACTGAAACAAGAGTAAAGGCATTAAACTGGAAGATCTAAACTGTTTAAGCAATAGGCAGGAATTCAGCACACTGGCTCAACGCTAGCAAGGGAAGCGCAGATGGAGAGGAAGAGTTTCTGGACCACAGAAGCTTAGCTATCATTCCACGCCCAACAGGAATCATAGCCCACTATCCTTCTTTGTTGCAGTTACCACAGTTGTAACTTTGTGTGTCTGCATAACTGTGTTAAACCTCCACCTCTGAAAGTAGGAAATATGTCCATCACATTAGCTACTCTGTCCAAAGTACTGGCAGTCCTAAAGGCAGTGCCTAATACATACGCTCAAAAATTGTTTAACAAATGACATTATCACAGGACTGTTTGTAATTTTAAAACAACACAATCAAAAAAATATCCAAGAGTTGGGGAGTTCATTAAATAAATTACGGCCCTCTAGTAAGACAGAATACTAAGCCATCATTAAAAATTACTTTAGTAACCAGGCATGTGCCTACCTATAATCCAGAATTCTGGAACACTGAGGCAGGGAAATCATGAGTTCAAGTCCAGCTTGGGCAAATTAGTGAGACTTGTTTCAAAGTAAAAAAAAAAAAAAAGGGAGGGGGACGGCACTGGAAATATAGCTCAGGCAGAGATCCTGGGTTGATTCCTCAGTACCACCAAAGAAAGAAAGAAAAGTGGCTGAGTGCCTATAGGGCCAAGAGGCTGAGACAGGAAGATTCCCTGAGCCCAAGATTGTTCTCTCTCCCCCACCAAAAAAGTTTTAAAAGGCAGTATGAAAAATGTTCTAGTAATTCTATTTTTGGTTGTTTGTTTTGTTTTTCTTCTGGTACCGGGAATCGAACTCACGACCTTGCACTTGCCAGGCAGGTGCTGTGCTCTGAGCTAAATCCCCAGCCCCTTCCTTTTTCTTTTTTTTTTGTCTTTTTGAGACAGGGTCTTGCTAGGCAGTGCAGGCTAGCCTTGAGCTCACTTTGTAGCCCAGGCTGGTTTCAAACTCATAACGATCCTCCTGCCTCAGCCTCCCGAGTGCCGGGATTATAGGTCTGCACCATCACACCAGGCACGTTGTAGTAATTCTAAAAGTACAACACAACAGTATAGAGTTTGTGTTACTATTTGTAATGCTGGTGATTCAACCCAAGGCCTCACACATACTAGGCAAGTGCTCTACCACTAAGCTACATTCCCAGACTAGTTTGGTTTTTTAAAAATATTACATAAAATGCACACACAAATTTAAAATGTAGAAAAAATACGGTCAAATTGACAGGAGTCTCATATGGATGGATTATGGGAGGTTTTATTTTTTTACAGCTATTTTGTGTACTTTTGAAATTTTTTTGGTGTACAGTGGTCTCATACATATAGATGCTCAGTAAAAACTACACCCTCGACTCTTACCCCAACTCTTTGTCTTTCCTCGAAGACAAGAATCCTTGATGTTCTAAATGATGGGGAAAACAGGAGGCCAACTGAAGGCACCGGCTGAAGCTTTGGTTCTTCTGCAGGTTTGGTGGCTCTGAGCTCACCACAGTCCATGTTCAGCTGTCACCTGACCCAAAGCTAAGGTCAGAAGCTTAGTAGAGGAGCCTGAAGTAGACCCTAGAATCTGGGTGTTCTGTGCAGTGATCCTGCCTGGGGCTGTCATCAGGTCTCCTATTTTGAGGCTGAGGTGACAAGTTCCCAAGAGATAGTCATACCAGAAAAGACACACCCAAGTCCCTGCATGCATGGGACTACTCACCTGCCCACCCTCTCATCCTTGTGGAGAGAAAGAACACAGATTCTTAATTGAAAGGCCTGGCTTCTACTACCTCTCATACCAACTTAGAATCTGGGGGCTATGGTCTCCTCGGGGTTCACAGCCCAGCAGCCTGGCTCCCAGTGTGGCAAGCCTGAGGTGAAGGGACCTTTAAGGGGTGGGGCTTAGTGGAAGGCCTTTCAGTCATGGGGGCTCCATCCTTACAATGGATGAAGGCTGGTCTCAAGTAGAAAGCAGGTGTGATAAAGCGAGGCCTCACCCCAACATACATACACGTGCAGGGCCCCTTCTGTATGCAGGTGTTACTCTTTCCACTTCTCTGCTAAAGGGGCCTCACCAGACACCAGTGCCAAGCTGCCTGGACTTTGTAGCCACCGAGCTAAGCAACATTCTTTTCTTTTCTTTTCTTTTCTTTTTTTTTTTTTTTCACTCTTTTCTCTATAAAGTACCCAACCCTAGGTATTTTGTTATAGCCAACATCTTATTTTGCTTGGTTGAGCCTCCAGTTACATTTTGAGAAGTATGAAAAACCCTACCTACTTCCTGGAGCAGCTAATGTCTGTCCGGGTTGGGTGCCATCAGTGCTGGTCCCTTCCCCACCCGTCCCAAGACAGAACTTGAGTGTGGGTGACAAAGGATGTTTACTTAGGCTTAATCCCTTGATACTCATATATATAAAAATATATAATTTAAAATCAGGAAAATAATCATGTTGATGTGACCTCCCAGCCCTCCCTTTGGCGCAGCCCTCCCAGCTCCTGTTTCCAGCTGTTTCCTTCAAAATCCTGGAGTGTGGAGGGCAGGGGTCACTTCTTGGCAGCCTCTGCCTGGGCTGCCAAATCCGCCTCTTTCTGAGCAGCCAGGAACTCAGCTCGCTCCTTCTGGAAAGCGGCCAGCTCTTCGGCACTGAGGCTGCAGGTAAAGAAAGACACAGGTGGCTGACAAGTTGGTGAGTGGCGGGTCACCAGTGGGAATTCACAAGGGCCCATGTCACTGTCACAGAGAACAGCTGGCCTGGCCCCTTATCCCCCTCTGGACTTCTCAGCCTCCACATTTCTGCTCATCTGTTTCCTCTGCCAGGAATTCCACCCATGATATTCATGCTCCCATCCTACCTTGTGTTCTCTTCTTAAAGCCCTACTCACCTTGTGAGGCCTCAGCTATGCCACAGTCCAGATTAACTAGCTCTTTCTCTGTGATCCCTTTGGACAATTAAGTCTGAGGGATATGCATGAGTATCTCCCTCAAGGCAGGGATTTGATCTACTCATTTCTGCTCCTCTTCACCGGGTGTGGTGGTGCACGCCTGTAATCTCAGCAGTAATCCCAGCACTTGGGAGGTTGAAAGAGAAGGAGTGTTGGGAGTTGATACCAGCCTGGACTACAAAGTGAGCTCAAGGCCAGCATGAACTGCATAGTGAGACCCTGTCTCAAAAAGACAAAAACAAACAAACAAACATTTCTGCTCCCCTTAAAGGAAAGATGTGAGAAAAGATCAGGCTTGACAGTGCATGCCTGTAATCTCAGCATTTAAAAGGCTGAATGTGTGGGGCATGGCCCATGCCTGTAATCCCAGCACTCGGGAGGCTGAGACAGGAGGATAGTTGCGAGTTTGAGGCCAGCTTGGGCTACAAAGTGAGCTCAAGGTCAGCTTGAACTGTATAGCAAGACCCTGTCTCAAAAAGACAAAAAAATAAATAAATAAAAGGCTGAAGGAAGAGGACTGCAAGTTCAAGACCCTGTCTCAAATAAAAAATATAAAAAGCCAGGTTGAGCCGGGCATGGTGGTGCATACCGGTAATCCCAGCACTCAGGAGGCTGAGTCAGGAGGATCGTTGCGAGTTTGAGACCAGCCTGGGCTCTAAACTGAGCTCAAGGCCAGCCTGAACTGCACAGTAAGACCCTGTCTCAAAAAGACAAAAAAATAAATAAATAAAAGGCTGAAGGAAGAGGACTGCAAGTTCAAGACCCTGTCTCAAATAAAAAATATAAAAAGCCAGGTTGAGCCGGGCATGGTGGTGCATACCGGTAATCCCAGCACTCAGGAGGCTGAGTCAGGAGGATCGTTGCGAGTTTGAGACCAGCCTGGGCTCTAAACTGAGCTCAAGGCCAGCCTGAACTGCACAGTAAGACCCTGTCTCAAAAAGACAATAAATAAATAATAAATAAAAAGCCAGGTGTGGTGGTACATGCTTATAATTTCAGCACTTAGGAGGAAGCTGAGGCAGGAGGATCACCACTGAGTTTGAGGCCATCCTGCACTACATAGTGAGTTCAAGGTCCCCATGAACTACACAATGAGACCCAGTCTAAAAAAAAACATAAAAATCTATCTATCCATCCATCCATCCATCCATCCACACACACATACACATATATGGGCTCGGGAATGTAACTTAGAGCAAAGGCCCTGGGTTCAATCCCTAGTACTGACAAAAAAAAAAAAAAAAAAAAATAGGACTTCAGTAGAAAACAGTTTAGAAAGGTAATTGGACGGCCTAGGACAGTGGTGGTGAACCTATTCCAGAGAAGTGCAACAGAAAGGCTGAAGTGCTGAAGCTTGGCTTCTTCTGCAGATCTGGTGGTCTTGAGCTCACCGT